AAAGCTTACTCAAAGGTGTTTGAGTTTATAGACAGGAAATCTGAATAGTTATTCATTAACTGTATATAGGCCTTTTAAATGCCCGCTGATTTACATTACCATTCAAAAGTAAGGAAATAAACACCTTTTCAGTGAATTTATCCAGGAAACAAATATACAGTATATCTGAAACTTGAGGTTTAATGTGGCTGACCGACCAATAATAAAACAATAACAATAAAATCACTGTTAAACACCTCAAGCAATGATAGATGAAGATATGGTTAAATCTATAATTTCATTTAAGCTTAAATGCAAGAATAAAACCAAGCAAGAACTAAAAGATATAAACTTGAATTTTCCTCTACACAAAATACTTTCTTGATTCCCTCTTGACTTTTCTGCCAGTTATCATCATCTTCATCAGTCGACCAAGTCAAGTCAGCAAAGCGCTGTGACATGACAGACACACTTGTGACACTAAAACTGAGCCTCTCCGCAGGCGGTGAACCCAGGCTTGTGTGAGTCGCAGATGTTTGGGGTCATGACCTCCAGCTGGGGCAAAACATAAAGTCTGCAGAGAGGCCGTGCGTAACGCTTCCTGAAAGACTCGGTTTGTCCTCCACAGCGAGCGAGGTCCCGCGTGTCAGCCAAGCAGAACACAAGAAGCGCCCTCTTCTAATGCGAACAACATTGCATGAGTGTGCGTGCGCAGATGTGAGTCCATGTTCGTAAACATGTTTGCTTTCCTCATCACAAAGCTTGCGTGCTTTAATCACTCGTATTGCATTACAAAAGACATACTCTTATAATCAAACACATTTCCTCAACAAAGAACTCTTTTGAGGATCGTCCAAATTCCCAAAGAAAAAGAGGACTACAAGATGTGCCAATCTCTTCTAGGAAATAAACATGATTAAACGGCAATGTGAAGAGGAAGTCTGAAATACAAATCCAACAATTAAGAGAAGAGGAAAAGATTACTTTTCAAGACTTCAGGCTCTTTATCATACTCTACCTCACTCAATTTGTCTGTGCACATTCATTTACATAAGAGTGTGGGTGTGTGATATGCACATAAGCCTTGCTGCATGTGGGAGTGTTTACATGCAACCTGTAAAGTGATAAACAGAACATTCCTGATTTAAAGGTGAAACCCACTAGCTTCCCAATGATTCAGAGGGCTCTAGTTCTGGGACTGTGTCCAGAGACCCAATTCCACCACACAGCCCCGGATTAGCTGTCAACCAGACTCCTAGATCTGAGGATTAGCACATTATTTTCCAGGATCTCTCCTCAAACTGGAGAGTCTAAATCAAGTCTACAACATCACTGCTGTCAGTGAGAGACGGAAGACACGGCTAAAATTGAGCCAAACTAAGACATGAGAATCCAGATCTGCAACTTCAACTGTATGCTGGCTTTATGATCCCAGTAAAACACATTAGTTTGGGGGAACAAATAAACAAAGGGCCAATCTAAATGTTAATTGAACATCACTTAGCTGATATGTTCTTATTATTATCTAGGGCAGATATCCCAGAGAGGAAAACAGATTACATTAAAAAGATGAGTCCTGATTTATCCTGCACACATTCTCCTTTCACCTCTCTTGTCAAGCGACATGCAGAGTGAAGCATGCTCGGCTCCTGGGAGCTGTGTTGTTTTTCACTCTGTAATCCGGGCAGACTCAGGGGAAGAAGGGATCCGTTATCAGCAAGGGGCCTCGATGGAGACTTGATCAGGCCTACTGTCTGCAGGGACCGGGGAGCTGAAGTTAATCAGAGACCGACAGACCCCTCATTACCCTGAGGATTCACACACTGTGACCCTGACATCCCTTCAATCTCTTTCTGTCGCACAGACACAGGCTTTCAAAAACATAGCTTGTGGTATTATTTGTGTGATTTACATCATACAAATAAAACTGACTTTGACATTTTTTCTCATTAATTATATTCTGAAATCCATAAAAGGACAATGGATAAGACTCATGGTGCACCCTAAACAGGTCTCCAAACATGCACATTGAGAAAGGGCTACATATAGAAACCTCCAAACTAGGACCTTCTTACTTAGATGCAAAACTATGACCTACACCACTGAACATATAAACAGAGGTTTTACAGTTTGATAGAGCAGTCTAGCAGTCTGACTCATGATCAAGTTGAAATGCTGAAACAAAACCAGGTTAAAGACAATCACCAGTCGATGACCTACAAAGTAGCTCAGTCCACCTGAACCTGCATTTAGTTTGTGGACACATTGCAGTTTTGAGAGCAGACAAAACTGCCTGGACAATAGGATGCAGATACAGCAGCTGGTCATTCGGCGCAACAGCACAAACACCTGCCCAGTATGAGCATCAAGCAAAGTAGTGAGCTAACCAGCATGTGCACAAGAGGCTAAATAAGCTAAACAGAAAAGGCAGCAAAGAGCAGAAGATGCAGTATGTTGTGCTGCTTAAGGTGCCCCAGATGCAGAGCCAGGTAATGCAAGGAATTTAATGTTTTCAGATCACATTTAATGTAATTTCTTTTCTTCAGTTAACTAGAAGTTAAACTTTCCACTAGGAGCTAACCACATACGTGTTAATTTGTAATTGTACCAGGGCTGCGACTAATGATTATTTTGCAAATGGATTAATCTGTCGATAATTTTTTTTAGATTAATCATTTAATAATCCAATAGGCAAAGGTTCCATAAAGAAGATTTTTTACGAAATTAAAGCACATGAATCTTTTCCACTTGAGGAGTTCTGTATAGAGCATACTGGCAGATGGAAAAGTTTTTTTTAAATCTTAAATGCAAAATGTTTACATATTTCTTTACAATTTTGGTATAATTGCTGTTCTAAATGGGTCACTCTGGTAGCTAAAGGCATGTTTTAGAGTCTCTACACTCCGGCTAACGATTAATCGATTACTAAATTAGTTGACGATTATTTAAATAATCATGATTAATCCAATTAATTGTTCCAGCCCTAAATTGAACAAAGACCAACAGGCTGCTACAGAAGAGCCTGTCAGCCTACAGCTATCAACACCTACAACTGGTAAAAAAAAAAAATAAAATTTAATCGTACGAGTTACTGCAATATTTAATATTCTTTTTAAGGACTAAAAAAGTATTTTTGAATTAGATGGAATTGAATTGACACACAATTTCTACCAGAATTATCTTTTTTTGGTCCATGCAAGAGTTCAGATCAGTTTTCAGAGGAATCAACTACTATAAAAGGGACCATTTAACCATTGGTAGAGAGCTGGCCTGACCAGCCAGGCTAATTTATACCACTGAGATGGCATATTAGTCTGGAAAGAAGCAGGTAGGGCTTGATTTTAAAGGCGGAGCTAACAGAGTCAGAGAAAACAGTTAAGGACCAATTGGATATATATACATATATATATATATATAGATTTGAGGGTTTTTTTAATATTAAAAAAGCCCATGAAGCAGACAGTCGTTAAAATATTAGCAACAAATACATCTCCTTCTGGACATAATAAAGAGCATCAATTAAATGTCGTTTGTGGTCTGTTTTAGGCCAGAGAGCATTGAGCCTCAGACTGACGTAAACCCAGTTTACGTCAGTCTGGCTGGCCAACTTAGGTAAGAGGAGCCCTAAACTTTAATTTGACACAATAATTTTTCCCAATCTTTCATATATCTCAGCTAGCTAATTTCATGTAACGAAAGACTTCAACATATGTAAAGGCTGTGAAACCACAGCAGAGCTCATACCTAGACATTAAGCCATAAATTGACCAGTGCTGTCAAACTGTAGCCATTAAAGAGCTGACGTGCAGGAATCCAGCTGGCTTACCTCTGGAGAAAGGTGTAGGAAATTATATGGCATTTAGATTAATTAGACACAGTTGTCAGATTTAATTAACTACTAGGTTTAATTAACCATGTAATTAATCTTATGGTGGTCCAACACGTGTACACGCGCACACAAGCACGGAGGCAAACACGTACACTCAACTAGTAGCCCGCATAGATATGATATGAATATGAATAGTTCATGTGCAGCAAATGTAATCTGTTCAGCCGACAAGCGCTCGCACTTTTTTCTGTCAAACCTCACAAGAGAGTTCAGCTGAATGGGTGAATGGCTACGAGCTAAAACAGCCTGAATGAAGAGCATGTGGTAAGAATAGCACCTTTAATCCATTTCAGGTTTAACTCCTGCCCTCATAGGATAATAATCTTACAGCTGAAGCAGCTTATTCAGTCCACATCCGCACACCTATGTAATCCTTTATCAAACATATACCAGGTAACATTGTGCAAATATTTATAATTGTACTGAGAGGCTGACAGAAAGGACACCCTGGGTAAAAGATAGAGCTGAGTTTCACATCAAAATATTCATTTTAATAAGTTTGAGTGTCGATAGGCTGGTGTAACGTTTCAAAAGATTATAGGGTGAGGAAGGGCCACTGACCCTGACCTTCCTCATTACCAAGTCAACCCTTGCAGCCATAACAAGAGAAGCCTGGCAGCATCTTCTGCATTGTGTGTGACCGCGGGTGTTTATGGGGTTGAATGATCAACCAGCTGCTTCTTGTGATTCAACCTTTCCTGAAGCCATGAGTGGACCAATAAGTAGCCGGGCATTACCCCAACCTTTTACCCCTAGGAAGCAGGGAATGACTGGGACCAAAATGGTCAGAGTAGCCAACAGCAGAGCAAGAGTTACTCTAATGATTGGATCATGGCAGGCTATAGCTGAGCTAGCAAAACAGTTAAAAAATGAGACTCAGAGGGTTTTCCCACAAAGAATGGAGCTGGATTTCTTGGGTGACACCTTTTAAAAGCATAACATTTCAGGCCGTACGCTTCTGTCTGTCCAACTTTAAAGCTGCACCATATAAACATGTCAGGAAACACCGAGAATCAGCATTATGGCAATAATTACAGCCAAACCTCTATATACGAACGAACTATACGAACGAAAAAAAGTAGAATCAGAGAGTGTGTGTGCTGTATAAACTGTATTATTTAAGTTCACTTACATAGTCATGGAAAGCCTTGGCCTCGCTGGAATGTTCGCATGTCTCCCTCCGGTCAGGGGCGGCACAGTACAGATCCCAGAATACACTAGACACACGAGAGAAGACAGCGTCAACAGTCAGACCCTCATGCTCTGAGCATTTTGTGTCAATAATGTAGAAAGGCAACACAAACCTGAGGTATGAGCTTTTGCAAAGAAGATTAGGGAATTTACACATTTTTTTGTAAATTGACCTTTGCCTAAATATTCTTAAATTTGTATAATTCAGATGACAAAGCATTCCTAAATCAAACCTAGAACCTATTACAGCCTGATGTGTTCCTGAACTCAAATAATCAGCATGTTAAATGTGGAATAAACAAGAGGAGCAGAGAAGTAACAGTAAAGCTTCATTTATAATGATTTAGGATCAAAACATTGTCTGTTGATTCAGATCCCTGGAGGGAGGGATAATTTGCATTTGGCACAAGCCTCTTGTAAATAAAAAAAAAAAAAAAAAAAAACACCCAAAATAACTCAAACTGATTTTTTTCTTTAAAAAGAAGGCCCGCACTGAAGGTTGTGTGCAAAAGAGGTGCCAAACACTTATTGATATCAGGAAAAAAATGAGTGACAGCCATGTTTATTTAGTAGTCATACTTAACATAATTTCTTTAAACCTTCACTATAATTATCCTTTCAAACAGTCCTAATTGTTGGAGTCACTCTGGTTAAATTGTTTTCTACTTAACTGAAATCTGCATGAGCAAATATAATTAATTCACTGTTAAAAAGTATTGGATGGAAATTCCTGCTTCCAGTGTAACAAAGTGAATGTCACTATATATAACCAGCAGGATTATTGATAGTAGAGTTATTAAAATTGGTAACAGTAACATTATTACTTGTCATAATAATATGTGACAAATATTTTAATTTTAGTACAATTATTTAGAGTAGAATCACCAGTAATTCTCACAATAATAGTTATATTAGTGGAAGAACTAGTGGGTTAATAAAAGTAACAGCTGCAGTAGAAATAGTAGCATTATTAATAAAACTTATATAGATATAGTAGTAGTGCTGTTAGTTGTTGTAATAATGGAAATACTTGTAGTAGTAATAGCATTTGTAATATAAGTACTATTTGGGGTGATTGTGGCTCTGTAGGAAGAGTCACATTCACATTTCATTTTAGCTCTGCTCCCTGTGACACCAATGTGCTCCTGGGCAAGGCACAGCCTCTGGATACTTTCCTTATATTGGTGTGTGAACATTTACAGTTATCAGTATAGGACTGGGTGAATGGAGATTCAGTGTGGAAGACTGAGTGGTGAGAAAAACCAGGAAAATGTGCGGTTAACCAATTTATAGAAGTAACAACTGCAATTAGTAGCGATAGTATTACAAAAATAAAGGTTCTGGTACTAACAGCACTGATAGCAGCACTAGTAGTAACCGTAGTACATTAGTAATGGAATGAGTAGCAATAGTTGAGGAAATAACAGTAGTGATAATAAAGGCATTAATAAAGCTGTTATTTGTAGTACTTAAAGTAACACTGGCAACAATAGTAATACTAATAGTATTGTATCATATTGGCAGTGTTGTATAGTAACGAAGTAAAAATACTTCACTACTGTACTTAAGTATATTTTGGAGTACTTTATACTTTCCAAGAGTATAAATTTTTTTGAGAACTTTTACTTCACTACATTGACGAACTTAATTGCATACTTTTACTCTGATACATTTTCAATGTTTGGTTTAGTTACTAAGTAAAAAAAAAAAAAAGTGAGAGAAACGCAAGTGTTTTGACCCCACCTACTGACTACAAAGTCGGATCTTGCCTGGGCTTGTTCATCAACACCAATAGGATACACCTGTTTCACAAAGCCATTCTAAATTTATCCTACACTTGGTTTTGTATATTATTTTAAGTGAATTTAACCTTCAAAGTTTACCAAAATGTAAAAAAAATGTCATTCAAACTGCACTACTTTTTACTTATACTTGTACTATAAGTACAAGCCATTTCAGATACTTTAAGACTTTTACTCAAGTAACATTTCAGTCAGTGACTTAAACTTTTACCAAAATCATATTTTGGAGAGGTACTTATACTTTTACTTGACTCCGAGATTTCAGTACTTTATACAACACTGCATATTGGTAGCAGTAATAAAGGTACTAATAATAATAGTGCAGAAATAGCCTTTCCTAAAATCAAAATGTTCATTTCTTGACAGTGTTTGAAACTTGAAGCTACAGGTACATTTCTGTCTATTTGAAAAATGTAACTAATTAAAACAGAAGTTTTTTTATCTCAGAAAACTCATTAGGGTGTCACTTTTATTCCGCTTCTAAATCTTAAAGTGAGCTCAAAAGAGCTGTTACCATGAAGGACCTCCAGATGCTCCTCTCAGCCTGCCCTGTAGACCTGCAGGTTACTGACCAATCAGCTCTGATTATGTTACTTACTGCCCAATCAGCCGTCCTCATATAATTTAACTAGAACAGGTCCAGTCCTCCAGGGCAATGGGGGCCACAAGGTCCCACTCCAAATGGGCCCTTAATTACTGCACTGAAATTAAGTACTTGGTAAGGCAGTCCATATAAAGTAGATCTCCTTCCTTGCTGTATTGATTTTATGGACCATGTATTAGGAGAACTCAGGAGGGGAAATTCTTAGTCTTTTTCAGGTGAAAGTAAGCTGTTAGTATCTTATTTTTGTTGATAGAAGGACCATACCATTTGACAAAAGAGAAAATAGCAGCCAATCAGCCATAACTTAAGTTTAAGTAAAACGTTATGTTTCTTCTTCTTTTTTTGACATACTTATAATAAAAAGAGAGTCAACACTGATTTATTTCTTAATAATTGAGGGTATTGAGATTAAAAGGTGTTCTAAAAATAACATGATTGATACAAATCCCATTTCAACCCTGCCCAGCATCTCACTTTAAACAAAACAAAACTAAAATAGGAATCTGACATTAAAGTATTTTAAAGATTTAAAAGAGAATCATTGCCCTTGGGTGCTTAGTGAGCACTGGAGTACTTTCTAGACAACGAGAGGCACTGAAGAACAGAGAGACAGCCTGCATTGTGTGCTGTGCCGCTCTCCTGTCACTCCACAATGAAGCCTGCGTACATTATCATATCTATCGGTCGGCGTTAAAGAGATTGCTGCTCCGGCGGAGACAAGCCACGGCAAGGAGGCGCAACCATCGCAAATCCAATCGTCTCTCTGGGAAATGAAAAGCGACTCGGGTTAGAGTTTGTTACGGAGAAGACACCCCCAGGTCGGTGGTGCAGAGGAGGGTAGGGTGATTTAACACCTCCTGGCCTGTGAAGTTGATAATATATTGCAATTTGAACAGCTGACCTGAGTGCCTCCGTGTCTCGCAGGGAAATCTCTTACACGCTGCTTCTCAGTGCATTATCTGCGGGAGAATCACTGTGAAAATGAGAGTAAACCTACAAACCCAAACTTTCATTATGCTGATATTATTTTTACTGGGATTTACTTTATTTTATTATTATTTTTTTTACCGAGATTGAAAGGTAGAGGGAAGAGTTAAGGAGACATTTTGGACATTAGGAGGATTTAAAGTGCATGACAAAAGTTTGACAATCTCCTAACTTCATGTCTTTTAATGGGACTTTGTGTTATGAGGGGCTTCCTGTGAAATATGTGGTTAAACCTCCAAAAGGAAGCTCCTAGGATCCTGGTCAGAAGCCATACAGAGAATACTGATTTCAGCTGGTTCATATCTATATCTAATGACCTTAAGTGAGGACTGGATGTTTGCTGAAGCTGACCTAAGGAGCCCAAATACTACAGATCTCCTACATAAAATCAAGTGTGACCGAGCTAAAACATTTGTTGTCTAATTAGTAAATATCCAACTGCTCTATGAGCCGTTTTTCAGAGGAAATTAGTAGCAAATCAACAAGATGATGGCCAGTAAAAAAAGGAGAACCAGGGATATGGTTGTGGAGAACTGCAAAGCAGTATTAGGATATAAAACAAGACCGCAAGCTTGTGGCAACCTGTGGACCATTTTTGACCACCAGGCTCAACACAAACTCTACAAACATACTCTATAGGAGTTGCAAAAATCCACAGTTCAGGTGGGATGTTCCTGATTGCAAGAACATGAATTTGCTTTAATGTTGATTAATTTTTATTTTTCATTGTATTTCTTTTTAAGAAAGTGGTAAGAATTTTATGTTAGGTGAGAACTTGTAAGGGACACAGTTGACATATGAAAGATTGCTCCCTTGTCAGATAAGATAAAAATGGAATTTTCCTCTCAATAAACAAAATACTCTAAAACAATTACATTTTTTAAGGTAGATGTTATTTTTAAAACTTTTAAACTGCGAACATATGCAACTGTTTTTGGTATTTGTCACATTTATTTACTTTAACCTAATTGTTTCACGTTTGCAGGGTAGGGCATAAAACAATTGTGTTAAAGTAACTAAATGTGAAAAATGTGAAATGTGTTAAAATAAGTAAATGCCAAAAAAGGATGCATTATTTTTTCAATGTAGTGGCGGTTGTTGCTACAAGAAAAAAGGTTATATTATTGTCAAAAATGTTAGCTGGCTACTCTAACACAACCCTGAACAAATGAACCTGATGATGAAACATGGTTGTGGCAGCATCATGCTGTGTGAATGCTTCTATTCAACCGAAGCCAATGGGAAAATTGAAGCAAACATGTAAGAGGCTCCACAAATTTAAGATGGAGGCACAGATTCCAGTTTAAGCAGGACAGCAACACCAATCATATAGCCACAATTTAAGAGCATCTGGGTCAGAGTCAATATATCTACACAATATAAATAGATGCCAATCTTTTGCAATTTAATAACAGATTGAAAACCACAAATCCTTATCTTTCTGCACCATAAACATGCTCCACTATTTGAAGTTCTATCACCTAAAATCCTATCAAAATACACAGTTTCTATTGATTTATAAAAGCAAAAAATCTGGCATGTCAGACTTTACAAAGATACTAAATCCTTTCACCACAAACCTGTCAATGGCGGCATCATTTAGAGCAAAAACCTGTGTCAAAGTTGTTGTCAC